TCAGGCAAGTGCTTGGCCCCTGAGCTGCAGTCCCGGCCTTCTCCTTTCAAAAAGGTTTTACTACTTGGAGACGGGCTTCCCCTGAGCTGCCCAGTCTGGCTTTGCATCACCATCCTGCCTCTGCCTGCCAAGTCGCTGGGGTTATAGGCATGTGCCATCACACCCAGCTTTCCATGTTTTAAATAGAAACATAAAAGGTTGCGTATATGAATGGGGTCACACGTAATGTTCCATGCACTACACACTGCAGAGTGTGCATTATCAGCATGTTTCCTCATGGATCAATTCTTTGTGGTGAAATATCCAAAATACTGCCTTGTAGCATTCTGAAATGTTATCTAGTCACCAGACTGGACAATAACCAACTATACGTCACTGTGGTGACTGCCATTCTATAGACTTCTACAGGTCCACCATTTCAGACTGTACATAGCAGGGAAGATGAGCTTGCTTGTCTTCCTGTGCCTGATTTCACGGTCTCAGGGGAGGTTTCCTTTTCTATGGGTGAACAGTACTCCACTGTGTGGATGTGCCACATTTTATTCATGCATCAGCTGACAGGGTGTCTCCATTTCTTGGCTATTGTGAACAGAGCCACAGTTAATGCGGGAGTTACCTCCATGGTAACTATTTTATTTTCTCACTGATTAGGGTTTATAATATGACTTGCTTCCATCAGGCTAGAGATTGAGATAGGAGATATGCTCTTTATTTTCTCTGTTGTAGCTGTTTTTTTTTTTCTGGTCATTGGACACAACACTACTGGAATTATTATATCTCACAGTGACCAATCTTGGTCACATTTAAGATTTTAAGATATGTAAAAGAATTTTATAGCCAGTCATGGTAGTGTAGGCCTATAATCCCAGCACTTGGGAGGCTGAGGCTGGAGGACTGTCATGAATTTGAGATCAGCCTGGGCTACAGTGTGAGTGCAAGGCCAGCCTGAACTACCTAGCAAGATCCTGTCTCAAACAAAATTTAAAAATATTGTGACTAGATGGTATGAATAAACAAAATAATGAAATGCACACCATTTATACATAATAGCCCTCCCTCTTAATTTCAGTTTCTGGGAGTCATTTTAATGGTTCAGATGAGATTCTTTACAAATCAAATGAACGGCTGAAAAAGGTCTTACACCTTCAAGAAAGTCCAATTCCAACACATTGAAGTAAATCACTAACCTATTTAGTGTAAAACTGTCCAAAAATTAAACTCGTGTAGTGATAATTTCGCTGTACGATGCATTGGTACAAAATCGCAGCAGGTGATTTTGTGTAAACCTGCAACTTGGTCCTTAGACTCCTTTCCTTAATAGAAGAACACAATAGTTCATATCTCCACCATTTATCCTATCTACTGATTTAGCTCTAGGCCCTGTGCAAATCAGTGTGCATGAATGGGAATGTAGCTGGGCGTGGTGGCGCACACCTGTAATCCCAGCACTGGGGGGAGGGGATCACTGGGTGCTGGAGGCCAGCCTGAGTTGCACAGTGAGTGCAGGGCCAGCCGAGCTATGCAGCGAGACCCTGTCAGCAAAAAAGAAAAAAAGTGAACGTATGTGATACTTGGGTGAGCTGATAAATAGGAAGTATGGCTGCTGTTTATAAATATATATGAAATAGCATTTATTTGCAGATAATTTAAAAAATGGAGCAAAACACAAGAATAATGACCCACAGACTCCATGGCTTTACTGCTCTCTCAACAGATACATCAGGATTTTATTATTTAAAAAAGTGTTGATGTTTAAATAAACTTGACACTTTATACTGGGGGGAAAAAAGACCCACTTCCACAAGAATTAACACTAGTGCAGGTTTTACAAAATAGCTATCGATTTCTTCCCATGCATCTTGTGGGGCCAGGAATGGGCCCAAGGGTGTCCTGGATGCACGTACAGACAGGAATGTGCCAGTAGGTCATCTCTGCAGAGTGTCAGGAGAGGTCGCATGACATTAGCTTTCTGCTTTAGAAACACTTCCCAGTAGTATTCTCATGTTCGTAGTACATGATGATCACATTCCTCATGGAGAATTCGTACACAGGCCTATCTTAATGCCTTTTAAAAAGTTCCTCCCCCGCTTCAGTCCATCTCTTTGTTGCTTTGTCATACGCAAAAGATCTGTCCCCCCATTACTGGAGTTTATCCTTCCCTACTGGGTAGTACTCCATTGTGTATAAATTTTGTGTGTGTGTGTATTTTTTGAGTCAGGGTCTTGCTATATAATTCAGGCTGGTCTTGAACTCACCATGTAGCCTAGGCTGGCCTCAAACTCATGAGTGCTTGGATTACGGGCATGGACCATCATGCCCAGGACCACATTTTCTTCATCCATCTGTTGATGGACTTACAGACTACTGAGGTTTAGTTGCTGTGAATTGTGCTGTGATAAATGGGCATGCATGGAGCCCAAGAAAATGATGTCTTTAACTCTTTTAGGAAGATAAATAGAAAAAGAATACCTGGGTCAAATGAAGTTTTCTGGTGAATGACCATCGTGAATTGCATTGCGGTTGTATTAGTTTACATTCCCACCAATACAGAAGCACCCCCTTCACCCCACCTCACACAGCATCACCAACACTTGTTATCACCTGATTTATAATGGCCATTCTTTTCTGGAATAAGATGGAATCTAATTGTGTTGTTTTGCAAGTTTCACTACGTAATTCAGACTGACCTTGAGCTCACAGTGTGTCCTTGGCCAGCCTCAAAATCTCCCAGCAATCTTCCTACCTCAGTCTCCAAAGGGCTGGGATTATAGCCCTGCACCACCATGCTGAGTTCTCATTGTTTTGATTTACAACTTCTCTAATGGTCAGACATGTTGAACATTCTTTTGTATATTCATTGGCCAGCTGGGTTTCTTCTTCTAGAAGTTTCTATTCATTTCAGTTGCCCATTGTTTGCTTGGGTCTTTTATTTTGGAGGGCTAGTGCCTTTGAGTTAGATATTACTATATCTATGTATTAGTCCTCTGTCCAAGAACTAGGCAATAGTTTGTTCCCCCCATTCTGTAGTTTGTCTTTTCACTCTGCTGTTTCTTTTGCTGTGCAGATTTTAATTTGTTATGACCCACTTACTGATTCTTGGTATTATTTCTTAACGCCTCTGGGGTTCTGTTTCGACTATAAACCTAACACTTGGGAGGCTGGGGCAGGAGGATTACAGTGAGTTTAAAGCCAACAGGAACTATAGTGAGAGCCTGTTTTTGAAAATGTAACAGTGAGTTTAAGGCCAACATAAACTATAGTGAGAGCCTGTTTTTGAAAATGTAACAGGCAGCAAACAATAACTGTGGTCCCTAATAGTATCTGATCCCGTGGCAGCCTGTGTGTTCCTACTGGAGGAAGCACGGGCCTGCGGCCACAGCTGTCACCAATCTGCATGGAAGGAGAGCTGCAGTATCTTAGCAAGGACCCACTGTGCCTGCAGCTGAGCCTTAACCTTGTAAGTATGTAACTAAAAACATTGCAGCTGCCCTAGAAAGGTGAAGGCAGGTGCTGTTACTTGGAAGTATATTATGCATATTTTAGGGTACAGATGTGTGTTCAATTATGAACCTCAAAATATCAGGGAAATTTGAATTTTTAAAAAATGTTTTGGACCCAAAAGATGTACCGTAACGATTTTATGATCTCTAAAGATTTAGGTCTAGCATGAACTTTAGATTACTGTTAAAACACTTTCGTCTTGTCTGTGAACCTGAGGACCAGGACACCGCCTCTGTTAGTGGCCTCGGGCTTCCCCCTTTGCCTGCAGAGACAAGGTCCGTGAATGGGCTCCCCCAACCAAAAAACACAAAACCGGAATGAGAAGGGGTGCGAGCTAGGGGTTTGCACGGGGCGCGCACCCGAGGGCTGCTCCTCCTCGGGCCCCCAGCCGCCTTCCCGGGGCGCGTCGCCCTCCCCCGCCGAGCCCGAGGCCTCGTGCAGCAGCTGCGCCCCGCGGGAGTCGCTCCGGCCGAGTCCCGCCGCGGGGACCCCGTTCCCCCCAGCCCCGCCGTCCCGGCCGCAGCGGAGGTCCTGGTTCGCCTCCCTGCTCCCCGCCGCCCTCCTGCGCCTCCGCGCATGCGCTGGACGGTCCCCCGCGGCGCCCTTCCTCGGAACAAAACTAGCGCCCAGCCGCGGAGATCCGCAATTTGCGTAGCCCCGCGCTCCTACCGCTCCGACCCTCGGCGCGGCGCCCGCCAGGGCCGCCGCTTCCCCGCGCGAGCGGCGCTTCCGGCCCGCGCGGCGCGTACGCCCGCCGCGTAGCGCCCATAGGCGGAGGGCTGCGCCTGCGCAGAGCGCCCCGCCCGCCCGGTACGCCGCCAGCGTAGCGCGGCGAGGGACGCCCGGGCCTGCGCGGCGCAGTTGGCGCAGCGGGCGTTGGAGAATCCACGACTTGGTGCAGCCGGGTTTGGTACCGAGCGGAGAGGAGATGCACACGGCACTCGAGTGTGAGGTAACTATAAAACCCCGATTTGTTTACATTCCCTCCCCCAGAACCGGCCCCGTGCGCCGCGGAGCCTGCGAGGCCCGGGACGCGGCGGCGGGCCGGCGAGGCAGCGGCCGGG